AAAAAAACACCTCACTAGATAAAGGGTGGAGGAAAATAAGATGTTCCAGGCTGCAGAGAGGGGAGATTTGAGGAGGAATTCTGTGGATGAGGGAGAAGACGAAGAGTTGGACATGGATGAAGTCCAACCACCGATTATCCTCGATGGCAGGAGCGTCCTCGTGCCAAAAAATGAGTGAGGCCGCAACTCCAAATTCCACAACACCTCAAAAAAAAAAAAAAAAAAAAAAAAAAAAAAAAAAAAAAAAAAATCCAGGATTATCTCATTATTTTCCTTTCAAGAGATAATTTTTGTGTGTATCCAGAATTTTTAAGTGCATCCGTAGTTTTTAGGTGTATCCAGGATTTTTTGGTGCATCCAGAGCTTTTAAGTGCATCCAGAATTTTTAATTGTATCCAGAATTTTTAGGTGTATTCACAACTTTTAAATGCATCCAGAACTTGTAGATGTATCCAGAATTTCTTTGGTGCGTCCAGAATTTTTAAGTGCATCCAGAGGTTTTTTTGTGCATCCAGAATTTTTAATTTTATCCAGATTTTTTTAGGTGTATCCAGAACTTTCAAGTTCATCCAGAACTTTTAATTATATCCAGAACTTTTAGGTATATGCACAATTTTCAGGTGGATCCAGAGGCTGCTCCCAACACCCAGCCCATGTTGGACCTCTTGATTCTGTGCCTTTATTTTAAGAAATCACAAAAGATAGATTAAAAGATGCGGGTTAAAAACTTTTCAATTTTTTTTTTTTTTAATAAAAATATCTTCTTTTTTTAACCTTCTGCTGCACCTGGGGCTGGGCTTTAGAGCTCCTGCCAAAGCCCCCAGGATGATTTTTCTGACTCCAGCAGGATTTGGTGAAGGTCAATTTGATTCCTCCCCATCATCTGATGGGTGGAACGCGGGTTCCAGGTCTAGAACCTGAGAATTTGGGCAAAGTGGTCAAAAATCGGTTTGGGAACAGCAAGTTAATTAATGATTAACTTAATTGATGCAAGACCTGGTTTAATTTGCCCTCACCCCTTTTCTCCCTCCCCTCAGACACACTGGGAGCTCTTCTAGTGCTGCCCTGCCAAGGATTGCCCCAATAATTGCTCAAAAATTGCTCAAAAATGGTGGAAATTGCACAGATTTGTGTTGGAGTGAAAAAGGGGCACTGAAATGAACGCTGGGCTGGGAAGGAACTCCCAGCAGGAGGAGCAGAGACTTTTAAAAAAGCCCTAAAAATGTGAATTTAGGGTGGCGCTTTTGGAGACCTCTCAATCTGTACCCAATGAGGTCAGCGAGGAGAGACACAAACAGAAAAATAATTCTGTGGTTATAATCGTAATTAATTCCCSCAGAATCCTGAAAAATTCGTCGGTRAGAGGATGGGCCRAGGTGGCCCTGCTTGGCTGGAATYGGTCMCCTCCTAAACTCCCACCCGATTCTGTCCTCAGCAAGGCCAAAGACTGGCCAAGAAACAGCAAAAATCAGCTAATTTATTATAAACCTGTACTTTAAAAAAAAAACTATTATTTTTTTTAATGTATATATATAGGTTAAGGCCAAAAAAACTGGCTAAAGCTTCTCACTTAAAGAAATTAATAAAATCTTCCCGCAATTCTCCTGTTACCCCTAAATCAGCTTCATTTAGTGCTAAACCTTCCCTCCTCTCTGCTCCCCCCAAGTCATTTTTATTCTAATGCTGCCATAAATATTAATGCCTTTCCCAGATGCAACCACTTAAAAAAAAATTATATATATGTGTATATATATTTATATATGTATATATAACATCCTACCAAATGTTTCATGCAGGTGCCCAATTACAGCTGAAAAAAACCCGTAAAAGAGAAAAGGAGAGATGTGGTTCAGCTGGGAAAAAACAAAAAAAAAACCACAAAAAAAGATAAAAATTCCTCTGTGTGCAGCTAAATGAAATTAAATCTAAATTTTGGGGGTGATGGGAGGGGAATTGTCACAGTCCAGCACATCCAGCGATCTCCAGCAATGTCTCAGCAAAATAAATCTGAATTCTGCCACGATGTTCCAGTCCTAAAGCCGAACCCAGCACTTCCAGAAGTGAGCCAGGCAGTTTTGCAATCCCTCAAAAGCAGAATTTTCAGTGTTTTGAGCTGCTCAGAAATTTCAGGGAACTTTTAAACCACCTCGAAAGGATCCCYGAAATTCCTGAGGCTGGAACATCCCGGCTCCGTGGGTTTGGGATGCGCTCGGGGAGGTTGGGAACGTTCAGCTCCGCCGCAGCTCAGGGAGAGGGGGAATTTTATTTTTTCCTGCTTTTTTTCATTTTGTTTTAAAGGACATCACACCCCTTTGGCACAAATCAGCCCGGATTTCTTCAGAATCCACCTTCATTTTACAAGTTTGTGTTTTCTGGGGATCTGAACCCGGATTTTCTGCCGGCATTCAGCAGAAAAATGGGATTTTAGCTCCTCGCCACGCGGTGCTGCGGGGTTTRCTGGTGGAGAGGATGCTGCTGAGTGTACATTTGGAATTTTTGCCTCCCTGAATTTGCCTTTCAGGGGTTTGTGTCACTCACAGTCCCCCAGGACTTCCCAAAGTCCTTCCAGCTGACACAAACTCCTCTCCCAAACACTTTTTTTTTTTTGCTCATTTTCTTCATACTCCAGCTTGTGCTGATCATTTTTCTCATCTCAGTCAAAAGCAATGCAAGCTTTAAAAAAAATTCAGATAGAAACCGGCAGTCCCCTGCTTAATTTGTTTTATTTTTCCTTGGAAGTAACAACTTGTGGATTTTTTAATTTTTTTTTTTCAGTTTTCCTGCAGAACAATCAGCCAGCAGCTCCTCGATTTTCACATAAAAGTTCCTCTCTTTGGTTCATTTCCTTCCTTTATTTCGGTTCCATCCTGGAGTTTTCCTTTGCACAGGCACCTCTCCTAGAAGCTGTTTGCACATCTGCAAATATTCTTTTTTAAAATCTGTAATAACAAGCGGGAATGATAAAAAGGAGTTGTTTGTGAGCAACGTTTGCGCCTCGAATTCTCCTGTGGATCTCTGAGGGCGCCGGAATTTTCCTGCTGAAAAAAAAAATTCTCGGGAATGAAATCTCCCCCAAATTATTTGTACAATTGAGGTGACAGATTTTAGTGTGGATTTAGTTAATAAAATACCTCCAGTGCTGCTCCCAAAGTGTGGAATTMTGTGGGATTTTCAGGTGCCCTCTGAGAGCTGAGAACTGTGGGTGCCTCTTCCCTGCAGGACCTCGATGTCCTGGGGAAGGGAGACCCAAAATGAGAAGGAGAAATGGAGAAAAGAATGCTCTCACCCCAGAAAATAAATATTTAAAAACATTCAGTAGATCTGCGAGAGATTTAAGGAAATAACAATTTTTAAAAAAGGACTTTTTAATGGAAAAGGGTCCCTGGCAGGGTGGGTTTTGCAGCAGTGTGTTTTTATGGCACGATTTGGGTCGTTTTTTTTAGGGTGAGGTTTTCAGGGGGGTTTTGTTCGTTCTGGCAGCACCGGAATGGATCCGACTCTCAGTTTCCCGTTCATATTTTGGGGCAGATGGAGCAGAAACGGCGCGGCGCGAGCGGTGCGGGGGAAGTGGCGCTAACGAGGGCGAGCGGATTTGGGGCGGCATTGTCTGGCGCTGTTGGTAAACCCAGGAAATATCCATCTTTCTCCTTTAAAGTTCTAATTCAAGGCATGAATGTGTGAGTTCTGAAGGGACTTAGGGACTGCGGTAAAAAATCGTTGTCATAGTAACAGAAAGGGAAATAGGCCTGGCTCACCTGGGACTTTAACTTACTGCAAAAGCAGATTTTTTTTTTTTCTTCTTCTTCTATTTTTTTTTTTTTTAAGGAAAGCACTCAGCGAGAGAAAGAAATAAATAACTTGTTCTTTGTATTAGAAATCAATTCTTCGACTATTTATTTTTTCCCGTATCCGACTCTTTTTCCTTCTGAATCTATCCCAGAATCTTTGATTTATTTTTTTAATTATAATTGTTGTGGTTAAACCAATCTTGTCTGACAAATAGGAAGGGAAAGGATCGCAGGGAATATTTTCACTTGCGACAGACGATGCCAAAAAAATTTTCTTGCTTATGCCTGAATTTTGAAGACGTGCTTGTTTCGCTTTCAATCCAACAACTGTGGGGTTTCACGTAGTTCCTTCACCTCTGAAATTCAGATTTAATCAGATAACAAAGGCGTGGAGGAGAAGCAAAATTCGGGTGGGGAAAGCTCAGAGAAAAATTCCAGCTTAACATTTCTAAACCCTAAAATCTCCCCGCAGSTCTGGGTGAGTCACCCAGAGAGGGTGAGGATTCAACTCGGGGCCGTGACAAAGTGAAATCTCCAGAATAATGAATCACATAAAGATGGGTGGCTGTGACAGGGCAAAACTAATTGGCACGAGAACTTTGTGGGATGTTAATGGGGTTATCTGCTCGGCCAGCGTGAGCTGTCATGTTGCACTCGAGCCTCGTGTTCCCCTCATCCTCCCTCAAAATCCAGGCAGGAAAAATCCGGGCTCTTGGCAGTCCCCGATTGCTTTTGGGACCGGAATGTTCATCAGGAAAA